GTGATTGTTCTGGTCTGTGGCCAGGGTTCTATGGTGATTGTCTGGTCTGTGGCCAAGGTTCTATGGTGATTGTCTGGTCTGTGGCCAAGGTTCTATGGTGATTGTCTGGTCTGTGGCCAAGGTTCTATGGTGATTGTCTGGTCTGTGGCCAAGGTTCTATGGTGATTGTCTGGTCTGTGGTCAAGGTTCTATGGTGATTGTCTGGTCTGTGGCCAAGGTTCTATGGTGATTGTCTGGTCTGTGGCCAAGGTTCTATGGTGATTGTCTGGTCTGTGGCCAACGTTCTATGGTGATTGTCTGGTCTGTGGCCAAGGTTCTATGGTGATTGTCTGGTCTGTGGCCAGCCTTCCCTGGTGACTGGACAATAAGACTATCTTCGTAGCTTGGAGACCCACACAGCCATCATAGCCAGGTAGATCCGGCGTCTCTAGAAATAAACACACATATAAATAGGCTTGTATAGTGGTCACCCCCAAGGTGAAACTACTGACCCAGGATGCAACCCACTCAACAGCTGCCAAACTCCCGGGTACCTATTTCCTGCTAGGTGAACAGGTGCATTAGGTGAAATGAAAAGTGCCTAGCCATTTCTCTCCCGCCCAAGAATCGAACCCAGGATTTCCCCCGCATGCGAATCGAGATTGAAGTTTATAACCAAACTCTGTTTGGTTATAAACTTCACAGTTGAGAGGCGGGACCAAGGAGCCAAAGCTCAACCCCTGCAAGCACAACTAGGTACACACACCACACACACACACACACACACACACACACACACACATGTGCACCCAGGAAGCATATTCTGGGTCAATATCAGACCGAATACAAAGAGCCCAACCTAGACAGGTACAATTAGGCTCAGCCAGTAATTAGCGTCATGGCTAGGCAGTTAGGTATGCCTAGTTGACGTGCCTTAGCAATTACACCACACATGCATGACGTAAGGTATTCGTTGTAATGGTTTGGGGGGGGAGGGGAGGATGGGGCAGGTTAAGCTCTGTTCTGATTGGTCGAGCGTGTTTCTGGTTGTAACGAGGTAATCTGATGTTAATTGATGTCGGGTGTTTGAGAGAGTGCAGAGATTGGTGTTTAATGGAATTTGGCGATGTGTGGAGGTATTGTGTGTGTGTGTGGGGGGTGTGGGGGGTGGGGGCGTGGGTGTGTGTGTGTGGGGGGGGAGGGTGTGAGTGTGTGTGTGGGGGTGGGGGTGGGGGGTGTGGGGTGTGTGTGTGTGTGGGGGGTGTTGTGTTGTGTGGGTGTGTGTGTGTGTGGGGGGGGGGGTGGGGGGGTGGGGTGTGTGTGTGGGGGGGGGGGGTGTGGAGGTATGGTGTGTGTGTGTGTGTGTGGGGCGGGGTGTGGGGGGGGGGGGTGTGTATGTGGGGGGGTGTGTGTGTGTGGGTGTGTGTGTGTGGGGGGGTGTGTGTGTGGGGGGGGGGGTGTGTGTGTGGATGGGTGTGGGTGTGTGGATGTGTGTGTGGGTGGATGGGTGCGGGTGTGTGTGTGTGTGGTGGGTGTGTGTGTGTGTGTGTGTGTGTGTGTGTGTGTGTGTGTGTGTGTGTGTGTGTGTGTGTGTGTGTGTGTGTGTGTGTGTGTGTGTGTGTTATCGCATGACATGAACGCGTATAATTCGTGTATGAACACATGTAGTATAATTCGCAGTTGGATATGATTTTTATCCTACAATATATTGGCTGCACTTCAAATGGTTCAAGTACTGGTATAATTCGGTGGTATAATTACTGTTACTCTGGTATAACTGTATATGATTTTAAATATTAGGGGGTAATATGTCACATATTCCATATAATTTGAACGTAAAATTATCATTAATGCTAAATATAATTTATGACCCTGTTATATCATGTGATGATATATAATTCTGGGGTATAACGGACTATGTATTCTAAATTATGATCATTTAAATAATTATAGACTTGACTGGTGGTATAATCACTGCTATATTATAGATTATAATTGATCATATTATCGGGAATTGTCACAAAATAACTCAGATTTCTCATTCTCGAATTATTGATAATTATAGACCTTATCTTGAGGTTAGCTTGAGATGATTTCGGGGTTTAGCGTCCCCGCGGCCCGGTCCTCGACCAGGCCTCCTTTTTTTTTTTTAACACATATCCCCCAGGAAGCAGCCCGTAGCAGCTGTCTAACTCCCAGGAACCTATTTACTGCTAGGTGAACAAGGGCGGCATCAGGGTGAAATAAATTCTCCCCATTTGCCTCCGCCGGGAATCGAACCCGGGGACCTTAGGACTACGAATCCCGAGCGCCGTCCACTCAGCCGTCATGTCAGGAGAAGGAGCAGCTCTCTGTGGTGAATAGATGACGCTTTTTATGGGGTTAAGATGACAGCTGGGGGGATACGATGACTGACATTTGACAAGATGACAGTTGACAATTGACAAGATAGCAGTGACAAGTTTCCATTCCATCCCGTCTCTTCTGTTCCATTGGCATTCACTGTAAACATCTACTTTTCCACCACCCTCCCCGTCAATCTTCTCAAGTATTGTGTTTCTATAATTATGTTCTATATTTCTATAATTTTGTTCTATCTTCTGGCGTCGTTATATCCGGCTGCTTCTGCCGTTGTTCGTATATTAGTCTCCGTTGTTATACCGTTGTACAACAGTTTTATCTGTTGTGTATCGAGAGAACTCGAGTTTACCTGTTGGAGGGGCAGGTGGGTTGTCATTATTAATAACAAGCCAACAGTTTATTCACTAGCATTCGGGAGAACAAATTACCATTCTTTACCGTTAGAAAAGTGACGTAGTGTGTTACTTAAGAAAGTTACAAGAACCGAAATAGTGTTTAATTGTGCACATTTTGAAAAGTAAACTATGTAGCGTTGTGTGTGTGTGTGTGTGTGTGTGAGAGAGAGAGAGAGAGAGAGACAGAGAGAGAGAGAGACAGAGAGAGGGAGAGACAGAGAGACAGAGAGAGACAGAGAGAGGGAGAGACAGAGGAAGAGAGACAGACAGAGGGAGAGAGACAGACAGAGGGAGAGAGAGACAGAGGGAGAGAGAGAGAGAGAGAGAGAGAGAGAGAGAGAGAGAGAGAGAGAGAGAGAGAGAGAGAGAGAGAGAGAGAGAGAGAGAGAGAGAGAGAGAGAGAGAGAGAGAGAGAGAGAGAGAGAGAGAGAGAGAGAGAGAGAGAGAGAGAGAGAGAGAGAGAGAGAGAGAGAGACAGAGTGAGAGTGAGTCTTTTATGCATTTCTTAAGTGTTCGCAGATCGGGAACGGTATAGCGAGGTCCCACCAGCCAAGGAACCGGAAACGACCCATTTCCTATTTACTCGGTAATGATGACGAGGAAATGACTGAGAGAGACATGTTTTATTCATGCCAGACAACCTCGTTACAGCAGCTCCTCACACAAACTACTGCCCCCGCCCCCCTATTATCAACCACAGTCAACTGGCGGGGAGCAGTTATAGACGCTTCAACCGTAATAACGCCAGACACAACTTCTCTAAACAAGAGAGCATCGCCTGCCTGTGACGTCATTGTCTTAGATTCCCCTCCCCCCCTCTCGGGGTGAGCGAGGGATTCGGGAACTATTTTCCGAGGCACTTAATTCCCCATCTTTTGTAGCCATTATAATGGCATTATATATATTTGTGTTTTTTTGCCCTGTTCGTTCCTATCTTCCCAAAGGATCTCATAGGAAGAGAATCTGATCCTGTATATATATATATATATATATATATATATATATATATATATATATATATATATATATATATATATATATATATATATATATATACATACACACACACACGATTTATCAAGGAAATTAGAAGCCTCCGCTGTGGGGTCCCATTCTTATTGAAAATTGACGAATACTGTTGGATTCATTTCTCGAAAAGCTTATTATTAATTTTTTAATGAGGCCCCCACAGGCAGTGTTGCCAAACCGTCTGGGTTCCGGGATTGATTGTAAAGTGATCATACACACACACACACACACACACACACACACACATAGATCTAAGGGGGTCTGGTAGCTGAGTGGACAACGCTCTGGACTCGTAATCCTGTGGCCCGGGGTTCGATCCTCGGTGATGGCAGAAACAAAATGAGCCGAGTTTCTTTCACCCTGATGGCCCTGTTACCTAGCAGTAAATAGGTACCTGGGAGTTCGACAGCTGTTACGGGCAGCTTCCTGGGTATTTGTGTGTGTGTGAAAAAAAATAGTAGTTAGTAACAATTGATTGACAGTTGAGAGGCGGACCGAAAGAGCAGAGCTCAACCCCTGCAAGCGCAACTAGGTGAATACACACACACACACACACACACACACACACACACACACATACACACACACACACACACACACACACACACACACACACACACACACACACACACACACACACACACACACTACTATTTCCCGTTTCTGGACCAATTGTGTTGTCCAGCTTCAAAAAGTCATATACCTTATTTCAATACGCTCAGATGACCCTCGATATTTTCCACAGATTTTGGTCCTGTATTTATATTTTTTTTACCTTACAATTTTATGAGAGGTAGAAGGTCAAAGGTCAGATAGGAGACATGTCGTATTCTTGTTGTACATACTGGTTAATTCTGGATTTAGGGTGTAACCGGATAAAGTACTGTATTAAGCTTCTAGATAAGATAATGTAAGTTGACCAGACCACACACTAGAAGGAGAAGGGACGACGACGACGTTTCGGTCCGTCCTGGATCACAATCGACTTGAGAAAGGTCCAGGACGGACCGAAACATCGTCGTCGTCCCTTCACCTTCCAGTGTGTGGTCTGGTCAACATACTTTAGCCACGTTATTGTGACTCCTCGCCTGCAAGATAACGTAACTTTGGGGTACTGTAAGAGGTCGGTTGAGGTGACTAAACGAGGAGGGGAAAGAGGAGATAAGGGGGAAGAGGAGACAAGGGGACAGAGTAGACGAGGGGAACCTAAGACCGCCTCTTTTCTCATTCTTACAGGACGCGGAGACGGCCATCACTAACATGAACGGACAGTGGATTGGTTCCCGGAACATCCGGACCAACTGGGCAACCCGCAAACCTCCGGCACCCAAAAATAACGACGGTAAGTGTATCTGATCCCCCCAACTCCCCGTCAATCCCCCCCCCCCAGCATACACACACATACACACACATACACATTGTAATCCTATGTTGCCATACAGCCCTAACCCAGCCTGACCGCCCTCCCTCTCTCCACCCCAAGTCCTTTCTATCTTTCTATTATGATATTTTGGTGTGTGTGTTTTTGTCTAAGTTTATCTGCTCCACACACACACACACACACACACACACACACACACACACAAACACAAACACATAGATTGCCATATAAACTAGTCTTAACCAACATCTATATACATACACATTTGCACGAGACATTGACAAATGATATAATACACATCACACCAATTAATATACACACATTATTTGTCTATTAGTAGGCCTACACGTGTGATTGTTAAACTTAAAACATAGGCCTATGGCTGACGGCATCGAGTATCCAGGTAACAGGTAATTAGCGGTGATAATTAGTCATCATACCTTCACATAGTCTCTCTCTGTTATATATTGTAGGAACTGTTTGGTTGTATGTTTATTGTAATGAAAGATAATGAGGCTGAATGTGTTTAACTACTAAACATGGTAACAATTGTAATTAACAAACATATGTAGTGTTGTTGTGGTGTTGGGTTTTAGGCCTATCAACCTCTGGAGGGTTGCAGGCGATGAGTCACAATAACGTGGCTGAAGTATGTTGACCAGCCCACACACTAGAAGGTGAAGGGGCGACGACGTTTCGGTCCGTCCTGGACCATTCACAAGTCGATTGTCGACTTGACAATCGACTTGAGAATGGTCCAGGACGGACCGAAACGTCGTCGTCCCTTCACCTTCTGGAGGGTTATTAAGCCCACCACAATAGCTCACTGACCAATCAGCTTATAGCTTGTAGTTTAAACTAACCAACAAGTATAGTTTAGTCCTGTATAATTCAGGAATGAAGTATACTTTCAGTGTATGTAGCGAGAAATCAGGTTCACATCTCTATATATTCCTGAATGCTTTGTGCTGTCGCTCCTATACCTTCTTCTTGAGGTTATCTTGAGATGATTTCGGGGCTTTAGTGTCCCCGCGGCCCGGTCCTCGACCAGGCCTCCACCCCCAGGAAGCAGCCTGTGACAGCTGGCTAACACCCAGGTACCTATTTTACTGCTAGGTAACAGGGGCATAGGGTGAAAAAAACTTTGCCCATTGTTTCTCGCCGGCGCCTGGGATCGAACCCAGGATCACAAGTCCAGCGTGCTGTCCGCTCGGCCGACCGGCTCCCCTGTACACATCTGCTTGCTAATGTGTACCCATTTATTTTTTTTGTTAAAAAGCACAATCCCTAACCAATACATAGACCTAATCATATTCTATAAAATATAGTTGACTACCAATCACCTTGTTAAAAACAGCCCGAAGCCAAAGGGGGAACCCTTTACAGCAGTCAGATGTAGTACATATGTACACCTGCTCCCTACACCAAGGATGTAACCTTGAGTCTAAGTACATAGGTATGACGTCGACCAAGCTGACGAGGCGTTTGACCTGTAATCTTCAATCCGGTGCCCCTTTAATACCACATGAGACAAGCCCATGATATCATCCTAACTAGAGAAATGTTAAATAAAAATATTCGCATATTAGACCAAAGCCAAGATGTAAGATCATTACAAAATCTTGAAGTAGTCCGCATAAAAGTAGAACAATCTACCATAAATACTCTACGGAATTATTCACTCTACCCACTATGAGAGTGAGAGCACTCTACCCAGCATGAGAGTGAGAGCACTCTACCCACCATGAGAGTGAGAGCACTCTACCCACCATGAGAGTGAGAGCACTCTACCCACCATGAGAGTGAGAACACTCTACCCACCATGAGAGTGAGAGCACTCTACCCACCATGAGAGTGAGAAAACACTGCCCACTATATATATATATATATATATATATATATATATATATATATATATATATATATATATATATATATATATATATATATGTTTCATTGAATATGACCGCATATTCTGTATTAATTATTTTCTGGTTTAGGGCTTCTATCCCTCTAACTATTTTCTTAGCATCAGGGCTTAATTGAAATAGGAGTTCTCCAAAACTCATTTTCGTACTTTTAAGGTGAAGAAAAGAAGTGATTTACTAAAGAGTGTATTACACTTATTTGTATAATTTGCACGACGTTTCGAACCTCCATGGTTCATTCTCAAGTGAACAGATCTTACAATACTAGTTGATTTTATACCCGCATTAGGTCAGGTGATAATACAATGAAGGTGAAAACATGGGGGGATACATAAGGGATAAACATAGGGGCTGCAGAAGGCTTATTGGCCCATACGAGGCATCTCCTATCTAAACACAAAGATTAATCCAGTGTAATTGGCCTGTTATGTTGGACATTGTCTTCTGTGTTGGCATCGATATGTTCTTGTCTTGTCCTTACTAGTAAGGACAAGACAAGAACACGATGCCAACACAGAAGACAATGTCCAACATAACAGGCCAATTACACTGGATTAATCTTTGTGTTTAGATAGGAGATGCCTCGTATGGGCCAATAAGCCTTCTGCAGCCCCTATGTTTATCCCTTATGTATCCCCCCATGTTTTCACCTTCATTGTATTATCACCTGACCTAATGCGGGTATAAAATCAACTAGTATTGTAAGATCTGTTCACTTGAGAATGAACCATGGAGGTTCGAAACGTCGTGCAAATTATACAAATAAGTGTAATACACTCTTTAGTAAATCACTTCTTTTCTTCACCTTAAAAGTACGAAAATGAGTTTTGGAGAACTCCTATTTCAATTAAGCCCTGATGCTAAGAAAATAGTTAGAGGGATAGAAGCCCTAAACCAGAAAATAATTAATACAGAATATGCGGTCATATTCAATGAAACATGTTTGAAAGAAAACCTGCTGCCAGTATACACCAATATATATATATATATATATATATATATATATATATATATATATATATATATATATATATATATATATATATATATATATATATATATATATAAAACCCACAAAAGAAAACGGGAGTCGGTTCATTGCTGGCCATTATATGGACAAATTAACTCATCAGAAACATATCGAAGCAAAATGGTGCTCGTTAGAATTAGCGGAATTTGCAGGAAACTACCAGAGACGATCCTCACTGCAATCCACGAAAGAAACTCTTCACACTTTTTTTTTTTTTTAAACTTTAGCACTTTTGAAAGTTTTTCAAAACTTTGGCTATCACTGTGAGTTTGTGCAGACGGGCTGGGGTGGGTTTGGTGGTGGTGGTGTAGAGGTATTTGTTGTTTCCAAGGTGGGTGTGGTGGTGGTGGTGGTTGGTAGTGGTGGTGGTGGTGGTGGTTGGTAGTGGTGGTGGTGGTTGGTAGTGGTGGTTGGTCTTGAATGTTTATTGAGTGACAAAATAAACTTATTGGATGTTTATACACCCGGTATCTCTGACACCTGTTTTCTCTACACCAGCCATACTCTACACCAGCCATACCCTACACCAGCCCAACTCTACACCAGCCATACTCTACACCAGCCCTACTCTACACCAGCCCTACTCTACACCAGCCATACTCTACACCAGCCATACTCTACACCTGCCATACTCTACACCAGCCATATTCTACACCAGCCATACTCTACACCAGCCCTATTCTACACCAGCCATACTCTACACCAGCCATACTCTACACCAGCCATACTCTACACCAGCCCTAATCTACACCAGCCATACCCTACACCAGCACAACTCTACACCAGCCATACTCTACACCAGCCATACACTACACCAACCCTACTCTACACCAGCCCTACCCTACACTACCCCTACTCTACACCAACCCTACCCTACACCAGCCCTACTCTACACCAACCCTAATATACACCAGCCATACTCTTCACCAATCCTACTCTACACCAGCCCTACTCTACAGCAGCCATACTCTACACCAGCCATACTCTACACCAGCCCTACTCTACACCAGCCATACTCTACACCAGCCATACTCTTAACCAGCCATACTCTACACCAGCCATACTCTACACCAGCCCTACTCTACACCAGCCCTACTCTACACCAGCCATACTCTACACCAGCCATACTCTACACCAGCCCTACTCTACACCAACCCTACCCTACACCAGCCCTACTCTACACCAACCCTACTCTACACCAACCCTAATCTACACCAGCCATACTCTACACCAGTCCTACTCTACACCAGCCCTACTCTACAGCAGCCCTATTCTACACCAGCCATACTCTACACCAGCCCTATTCTACACCAGCCATACTCTACACCAGCCATACCCTACACCAGCCCAACTCTACACCAGCCATACTCTACACCAGCACTATTCTACACCAGCCCTACTCTACACCAGCCATACTCTACACCAGCCATACTCTACACCAGCCATACTCTACACCAGCCCTACCCTACACCAGCCATACTCTACACCAGCCATACCCTACACCAGCCATACTCTACACCAGCCATACCCTACACCAGCCCTACTCTACACCAGCCATACTCTACACCAGCCATACCCTACACCAGCCCTACTCTACACCAGCCATACTCTACACCAGCCATACCCTACACCAGCCATACTCTACACCAGCCATACCCTACACCAGCCATACTCTACACCAGCCATACTCTACACCAGCCATACTCTGCAGGGGGTTTCGGGCAAAATGTGACCCACTGCCGCTTTCAGTAATTGGCATATTTTCGGTATAAAAAGTCGGAATTTCAAACTGTGAATAGGTGCAGAGAGCCAGAATTTAGGTCCAAAATGTGGCTCTGGCGTCGAATTTGAGATGTTTGGGATATTTTGAAAACTGCAGGGGGGTTTGGCAAAATGTGACCCACCGCCTCTTTTAGTAATTGACAGATTTTTGGTATAAAAAGTCGGATTTTCAAATTGCGAATAGGTGCAGAGAGCAAGAATTTGGGTCCAAAATATGGCTC